CCTAAACTGTCATTTCACCTTTTCCCAATAAATATTTAGCGGTAATCCCGGCCGTTAACGCGTTCCCGCGATTTACGGGATCTAATCCCTCATGAGCCGAGATGCGCCTGCGCCGACAGGGGCCGTAACTTGCGGTTACTGCGCCGTATAACATGTCACTGCGGCTGTGGTTTGGTGAGGAAATTTTGGGTGATTAAATTGCATATTAAAAATAATTATACTATAATGGAGTGGATAAATTCAAAGAGTAGCGTGTGGCACATAGTTATGGACAGTTGGGCGGTGCCTAAGTAGGAAAATGGTGTTTAAATAATGATGAGCAGTAAATCTATAAGTACGCTCCACTGCCTACCTCAAAATAAGCATAACTAGTAATAAGCATTTCACAAGAATCTGACCCAGTACTTTCTAAGCTTCAAGGAAGTGTTTTTTTGGACATAAAATTTTTACAGCAAAAAAGATGACTAACAGTAACAATGAATAATGGGATTGTTTTAAAATAAACTCATTTTGAGTCGGAATCTTCAAGGAATTACTACACAATTGCGTATAGTTATAAAGTGGATACTTATAAACATAGCAAAGTTTTTCACCATATAAACAAATCTCCACCACAAAAGGAACACTCCAAAACAGTTTTACAACAACAAAATAAAACTGCATATTTAAGATACCATCCGCATCACTAGACAGAGATTTATACGGACTTGTATAGGAAAAAAGCAAAGGGAATACACCGGGATAAAAAAGCGTCGCTCCAGGAATAGCCCGTGAACCGAGAGACGATGACAGGGAATTTATTAACCATTTGGGATGACAAACTGCGAAATGGGGAAGGAGGGATTCTACTACGCACACAAACTTGCATCAACCGGGATTAGGCGAGATGGGATCGAGTGTTGTTGGTATTTTTACGAGGCGATACCGATCTGGGCTGTGTGGAAAAGAAACAACTATTTGTGAAGATCTCGAACAAATGCCTGGAAGAAAGAGTTCATATGGTTACAGTTTCAATTTTCTATAAACCTTCTTGGCACTTTTTAATCTGAATGTAGTCAACCAGAAAATTAATCAAATATAGGAATAGAGAGATATTTCATCAAAATATTTGTCTATCATGGCTTTTTTTATCCTTGTTATTGTAGCAGCTGAAATCTCAACCGTCCAGTTTTATAAGTCACCATAGTCCTAACTTGTCTCAATAAATCTGCGTTTTGAAGCACAGAATCATTATTCCTTTTTGGACTAGCTAGCAGGTTGATTCAATCCTGCAATTTCCAAGCTAAACTCTTTTGGTCCTCCCTTTTGGTGACTATCTAGTTATATTTATTCAATTCCAAATTGGAATTCCTTATTAGTTTTTTTAGCACTTTCACACGTCCCAAAATTTGATTAGTATTGATCTCTTACTTCGAGAACCCGTAGTAGCCGCATCAATAGTCGCGTCTGCGTGCGCGCACGTGATGCACTGCGTTTTAATTGGGACTTCCTTCGCCGCCCGCTTCAGTAAACGACGGCTTAATATAAGTTTTGACTAATGTACAACGCTTACTTAGCTCTGACAAAAAGTAAAGGACTTTTTTTAGACACATTAGAAATGGTTCAAATTTTTTTTGCAGAAAATTTGAATTTGCTTGAAAGATAAATGGAGAATGAACTCTTAGCCTAGTCGCAGACTACCGAATTTTTGTTGGCCGATAGTTGGGCCCGATTCTAATTTGTATGAAGAATCGGCCGATATCAAATCGGTGTAATGTGCGCACTTTCATACATCTCCATACTGATTAACAGCCCGACCCAACTATATTATGTCTCAACATTGCAAAAGCGCGTCCATTTAGAGGCAGACACAAAATATCCAAGAACTTCCCTCAACCTTGACCTTAAATAAACTCGAAACAAACGAAACTGAAAGCCTTCGCGATAAATCTGTGATAATATCTAACATATCCTTGAAGAAACGCAAGCATTGTTTACCTCTGGGTTCGCGATTCGTGGAACCTCCAGTATAAATACCAGACACTGACATGAGCTGACACGCCGCATGCAAAGCAGCAGCCGACTGGACCGTGATCTGGTGGCCAATTTTGGAAACGGTAGAACTTCATACGAGAAAACATGAGTCGTGTGCGAATTCCTAACATAAATGTAAACTGAAGAGCAATAAGAAGAAAGAGTTGATGGATCTTCTTCCAATTTCTTCTAAGAGAAACTAGAAACTATCAAGAAATGAGAATGATATTAGAAAATAATAATGACATCATTGAAAAATTTTTTCATTTCTGTCGTTCATGTTCTGGCATTCAAAAAGTAAAATTTTCGGATTTTCGGGAATCTTTTCTGATGTTTCTTATCTTATAAGCTACTGTTACGCAACTTGTGAAACAACTACTTGGCTGCTCTCTCATGCCTATTAATTAAGGAACGTTATTTTCATTTCTATTTGCTTAATATTGATGTGAAATGATTTTTTTTTTGAGAATTGAACATTCCAACTCCAAACTATGTATTTTTTTTTAATATCTATACGCTTGTTTTTTGTTCGTGATATTTTTCTAATGCTTCCAAAATAGTGTCCTAAATGTGCGAGCGCATGCAAAACAGGAGCCGCCGAGACATGCCATTGATCGCGATCGATCTTATCGCTGGATCTCCCGAATCCAGTCCAATTTTACTAAGCAGCCGATACTATCGGGCTTTACGTACGTTTATTTTTTAACTGGCAAGTAATACGCATATATTTAAGGTCATTATCGACTGGAGATAAAATCGGATACCTTCACGTCCGTGCACTCGCCAGACGTTTGACTCTAGAAAAATGCGCTGGGAAGTTTTAATAATGATAATAAATAAGCCCAGTTTAATGCATTTAACAGATCGAGCTATACTATCTAAAAGTCACACTAACAACGAAAAATCCCTAGGCAAAGAAATTCCTTCATCATAGTTACTATTAGTCCTCATCAAAAATACTAAAATCTTACTTTTTTATCGATGCTCAAAGTTTCGATACATTAATAAACAAAACAACACTCATTGCTGCTCTCCTCTATAGGTACTGTATATTTTTACTAACATTCATTGTGCGTTCACAATTATTCTCTCTTTAATTAAATGTACCCACTTTTTCAAAATTACATGTCTAATATTCTCATAATTACATCCAAACGTGCAAATAAATCAAATAAATCTACACGTGTGTTTTCCCTCGGTTCCGATGTCGTGCTAGAGCACCATTAGACCATCAGTGCCCCACGTGGCGCATCCCACAAGAAGTATTGTTCGCTGAGTGCTCCGATGATGATGCTTTCACTATAATAACCGTGATAATGAAAGAGCAATAAATGTTAAAAACAATAAATTATACTTAAGCGTCTCTAAATTAGCGATGGTGCGAAATCTAGTTGTAAACCCAATCGTTAATCTCCGTCAATAACAAGGTTTCGAAAACTGCAATCAACAACATAAGTAGGTACTACTTAGGCTGAGTTCCACCATCTTACTTTAACTTTAGGAAACTTCAAAAATCTGTCAAACTCCATGCCAAAAACACCGGTTAGTGTTAAAGTTACGGTTAAAATAAGTTGGTGCAACTTAGCCTTAAACTTCAGCTTATGCAGACACTGGCGAAAGGCGATGCTCTGGTACAGTCAGCGTCACATAGTTCGTGACACCCAAAGTAGCCAATTTTATGGTTGTGTTGTCATCTTTTTGGCCACTTTGCGTGTCACTATCTATTTGACGCTGACTGTGCATCTAGAAAAATACAAATGTAATGAATATTAATTTATTTTGAAACAATAGGCGTAGTATCTTAGCTTTTTTTAATTAGGTCCTGATTATTTAACCCGCATATTATGAAACGGGACCTACACAAAGTTTTTGAATTGAGATTTTTAGCATGAGCTTGACTACGGCGATACGGACTTGCCTCTTATTTTTTAAGAAAGGTTCTACACCTTTAAGTTTTGGCTCTAGATGAGTTCTGGTAACTATTTCACATAGCGAGCCACACGATTCGTTTTGGCAACGTTTTACTGTGTGAACTTTTTGTTCACTATTCCCCGTTAACGCCAATTGGAGCTTATTTATAATGTTAAAAATAAAATCCTAATATAACTTTTTGTTCATTATTCCCCGTTGACGGGGATTGTCAACGGGGAATAGTGGAATAAGGCAAATGTTTTTAGTGGGATCAATTCTTTTCTATACTCTTTTTAAACTAGAAGTTTATAAATGAAAGGTGTATATTACTTTGAAAAATCATAGAGCAATCATACCAAACTTTCGTTCGCTTAACCATATGACGTCACTGTACTGTGCCAACACAATGCCCATTGAAAATTCCCCAACAAAAGCGCAGTGTGCAAAACAAAAGAACACCATCGCAATCACAACATCCCACCCTTGGGGTGGCAGATGAGAAATAACTGCTTTATTGGACCCGACGCGAGGGGGCGAGATGACACAAATTATACTAATGGGATCCGAGTTGCCGATAATTAGTTTACACCGGTTCACTGGAGAGGACTGTGGATTCGGAAGAAATAACTACGTGGAAGCCACTAAAGTTTTCTAGCGAACATAACTTATTTATTCGTATCAGAAAGAAACCACTGCGCTACGCATTATACTCGTATAATAAGAAATCAGTCAACGCATCGGCTACTCTTGTACTTGTAGTGAATGTCAATTAATAACTCATCGACATTTTTACAATTAATTGCTGAATTTTAAAACTTGTCAGCGTCAAAATGATGGACGTGTGATAACAACCTATAAATTACTCAATGACTAGTAAATTGGACTCGGTTTATTTTACATGTGTCATGATACTAGTACATAACATGTACTTAAATTAATATTTCGTGTACGATAATTCAAAACGTTCGCTATAAATCTAGTGGTGGATTCGTAAATCGTACGCTTTGACGGCGTCAATCAATCAATCGCTCGCAGTTGATCAATTAAAATTCCAACTTATTTGTATTTTCACCGCGATGTCAGTTACGGTACGTAAATTATAAACGATAAATTTAATTTTGATGATCAATTGATGACTAACCGCTAACTTCTGTTACTGTACCGACTTGTAATTTTCTTCACTAATATTATAAAGAAGAAAGATTTGTTTGTTTTCATTAAATAGGCTCCGAAACCACTGAACCGATTTAAAAAATCTTTCACCATTAGAATCCTACATTACACGGCGGTACGAAGTTCGCCGGGTCAGCTAGTAAGTAAGTAAAAACATTAGAAAACCAATAGAAATTAGTAAGCAATTAAAATATTTACCAAGCATTAATGTGTCATTGCAAACTAAAGCACCCCATTCAGATAACTACCTTCATGAGAGTTACCCCCATAAAATTACCCCCATATTCTTAAAAAAATACAAGTCTGTTTTCTCTTCTTGTCTTTAAAAGTTACAGTTACAATAAATCTATACCTATAGGTCACTGATTGACTGACTCACTCATCACGAAATCTCAGAAACTACAAGTGCTAAGTCTCAAATTTTGCATGGGGGTTCCCTTTAGAACGTAGGTGCTCACTAAGACGGGATTTTGCAAACTTCAACCCCTAAGGGCGTAAAACAGGGTCCACGCGTAGGAAGTCGCGGGCGGCCGCTAGTATTTCCTAAATGTGAAATATGCGTAACTAACACAGCCTGATGGATCCAAAGAGCGTTATCTCATGTTGCAAACATTATCTACTTCCCACAGCGACCCCTCAGATCGCTGTGTTTGTACAGCAGCACGTCTATCTATCCGTTTACCGCACCGTTTTTTGGAAAACCGCACTTATCCCAAGTAGATAAGATTGCACAGCAGCGTATTGATGTGTACTTTGTAGTTCAAGTGATCCGCCGGTAGGGGGCGGTGCGTGACGAATATAATCCGCTTAATAGATTCGGGCCGGTCATTATTTGCTCTCTAATTTGATGTTAGCGATACTTATCGCATTATAGTGAGTGCAAAATTTTATTTTGGTGATTTAATTTCTTAGTTCTATTGTTTTAGGCTGAGTTGCACCTAATTTTGACTGTAATTTTATCAATAACCTGTGCTTTTTTTATGGAGTTTGACAGATTTTTGACATTTGTCAAAGTTAAAGTAAGATGGTGCAACCGAGCCTTAATCTCCTTGTGGGTTACAACTGAGTTCACAACGAAAATCTGAAGTCAGACTTATTTGTTTTAAAGAAGTTGCAGCATTAATTTTATTATTGGTGGTGTTATTTAACACACAAAATAAACACTTATAGTGTTAGTTCCCTTTTCAGTTCCCTTTACATAGGTACTCTTTTATAAAATTGATTTTCTCAGTGTTGAAACAATTTTTTGACATTGAGTATTACTAATTTATATCTTATGTAGATATTTCAATTACGAATCAAATTTCACATTGGAATCTTATGCAGAACAATACAGTCATTTTATATAATGATAATCACTCGATCAATCATGGAGTACAATTATATTGAACTCTATCTTTTTTCAACTTGATAGATAATTCGTTTATCATCATCATCAAATGCTCCATTTAGTGCGGTTGTTAAACTACAACATAATTTGGGTCTTTCTTTCTTTCCTGGATGACACCAACAATAAAATGGCCGTGTTCAGACCAATGACGCTATTCCACGTTATGGGGCGTATAAATTCATCTCTAACGAACTCTTTACGACGTGTCGTGCGTTTACGAGCGCTTTGAGAATTGGGTATTTTTGTTTTAAATACAACGTGGAGACATTTGAGGTGATCTATCAGTTTATTATGGTATTAGGATATTCTTTAGGTTTATTCCTTAGGTTTGTTAGAAAAGAACCCAAAGATAAGATATTAGTTAAATAAGCGACGATAGATTTGCCTAAACTGTTTCTTGACAGCTACTTGCTACTTCAATAAGTTTAGATAATTCGTAAAATAGGTTAAAATATTTACGGTGTAGTAGTGTAGTTTGCGTTCGGAAAATCATGGTAGGGGTAGGGTTAAGTATGGATAAAAAAGTTCTCACTACATCCCCGTAGTGAACACGCGTATCAAATCTTTTTTTTATTATGACCAGTATTTTGGCACTTACGAACGCCAAAAATTTAAATTCCTTATTAAAAAAAAGATAACTTTCCATGTCTCCTTCTCTTTTGGGCCCTATGAGCGCTTTGAGACAATATTATGTCAAGTGTTGAGACGAAACATCGGAACAAACTCAGTTACAGCAAATCCAGACTTTTAGCAACTTTTTAAAGTAACCTCATTTACTTTAAAGTCTTTTGTCTCTTGTCTTAAAGTTGCCAATAAGACATCACTTAAGACAAGTGCGACTCTATTACGCTTAAAAAATATTTTAGTTTCAAGGACGTTTTAATTAAACTTGACTTTTCTCGTCTCTTCCAGGTGTTGAAGTACTGCGAGCACCTGCACGGCAAGTGGTACTTCAGCGAGATCCGCGCCATCTTCTCGCGCCGCTACCTGCTGCAGAATGTGGCCATCGAGATGTTCCTCGCCAGCAGAAGTAAGCCACATTTATTATGTATAATTATGTATTTAGATTATACTCCTCACTTAGTGCCCTTACAACAATGGATAACCTTATTTTAAATATCGGTAGGCTTCGAAATGGTCAACATGGAAGAAAATAACAAAGAGTTACAAATCTTGAAACCGTGATATTTTCGATGATGGCTATGATGACGGCTGCAATAGTTATCAGATGTTTTTTGGGTTTTCCATTGTTTCCCAGACACCTTTTTTGTACTTTCTGTATAAAAACAATATTCGAAAATCCTTAAACAACGCTTGTTTATATTGCTTATAAAGTTCAGAAAATTAACATTATAACTTAAAATTGATCACGGGACCATGAATAATTTATAATTGATGACGAAGTGATAAAGCGAGAGTGCAGGTGGATACGTAGATCTCTATTCCGTGCTAACTATGAGAAACAAAGCAGCCCCTTGTCAAAAGAGTAACTTATAAACAAGCATGTTCATGGATATATTGCGCGTTTAATCTAAGTTTAAGACACAATAGATAATCAATTGTTATGACATTAATTAATGCCGTCTGGGACTCAATCGGTTAATCATTAAGAAGAACCTTCAATTAATCAATCTTATGTTAATGAACCTTCTTCCCATGTGTACATGCAATTCTAACGTCATTTGTTTCTGTTTCCAGCGTCGATATTCTTCGCGTTCCCCGACCAGGCCACCGTAAAGAAGGTGATCAAGGCGCTGCCGCGCGTCGGCGTCGGCATCAAGTACGGCATCCCGCAGACCAGGTCAGTGCTAGCTTATAAGTACACCAGCCGAGCTAGAATGCATGCCGTGATAAAATCTTATCTTTAGATGACAACGTATAGGTTTATCGCGTAGAATAGATAAAATCAAAAGCTTATCACGGTGCGCATCCTAGGCCTACAGCTAATAATATCTCCTGATGCAGATATTCTTTCTCTTCTAAAGAAGAAATTTGTCACTTACATCGCATCAAGAATCTATATGTCGTCCCTGCTCTTCAATTTAAAATCTCTGATTACAGAAATATGGAGGCTTGAGTGATTCGTATTAACCAATTTACCTTTACACCTACAAAAGTTATCTCATTACAATCTACTTTTAGGTCATGATCTTAATATACCTACCGAAAAACTATGTTTAAAGTTACCGTAACATCTATAACGTCTCTACTTAAAATAATATTTTTATTTTTTTTTATAAAAAAGCAATTTACTCATACAAATATTTTGTAAATACAAGTGGTCACTCAGAGAATAGAATAATAATGTGCTGCCATCTGTAGTTAATGTTACATACTAGAAGGCTCTACCCACCTGCCTTTCGATCGATCAATTTGACGCTATGAAAATTGTTGACGGCCGCCACAGGTAGATGGCGCCACTGTACCAAATAACGAGTATAGTAGAGTAATTTAACTAGTGCATGTTTTGGTACCTAGGAATTGGATAATTCACTCCTTGAATTTCATAAAAGTTTTAACAGAATTGGAATTTTATTGTTGGGATAAATGAAACATAAGATGGAAAACAACACTCTTTTTATTCACACATGTATATTAATAATATTAATTGCTTTCATCATCACAGCATAAGTATTGCAGACTCACTTGTAATAACTTATCTTATTGCCGACTTCTTTGATTTACAGCTTATTCACTTTGTTGTGTAAATAATGGTAATAAAATTACGTTTTATGTAAATAAAACTTTTTACAATCAAAAATTGATTTCAACACTTAAATAAATCACTATCGATTGACAGTCGCCAAATAACGATAAATATAAATAAACAATACAAACTCTTCAATTCTTTCCGTAAAAATCTATAAACAATACAAAATTTTATCTAAATTCATAGCAACCAGTGCTTCTGATTTCTAAATCAGATTTGTACTTAAAATAACTTCAATATTAGTACATTAACGTCACCTCTTAAATATAACTAAAGCTAAGGAATGTAACATTATTACGAACTACTAAAATTACTCAGTAAATACCCATGGTAATGATCACAAAATATAGTAACTTTATACTGGTAACCAACGTTTGCACAAATGTTTGGGCCACGCGGCCCTATATCACACATTCAAAATAAATATCAAAATATATTTCTTTTTACACAACCCTAAATAACAACCTAAGAATATTATTCACGCAGATTTAAAGTCTTTACCCCACTGTCGAGGACCCAGTTGGCTGTGAAAATGTCACTTTTCTCTAAGGAAACAGACGCACCTGCACTGTGCCTCCTCTGGACTGGTCTTCCTTCTATGCTGTTCTTCTTCTCTTTGTACCCCACCTCAGGGTCGACTTCCTTCTTCTCATCGAACTGCCTCATGATCTCAGTCAACGTTTTCCCTTTAGTCTCCGGTAGGAAGAAGTAGCAATACGCCGCCCCCAAAAGGGCGCAGCCACCAAACAAGTACAACGTCCCGTTACTCGTCAACAAATTCTCCAACTGAGGATATGTCTTTATGTTGAAGAAGATCAATACGTAGGCGCAGCAAGACGTCGCTCCTGACATCACGCCTCTTATGTCCTGAGGGTACAACTCTCCCGACATTATCCAGGGAAGCTGGAGGAAGCCCACCATACTAAACGACACGTGTAGTAGCACACACGCCAATTTAACTAGTGGAGGTCCGTCCAGACTATCACAGATTGCGGCACCTAACATTGCTAATCCAAGAAGAAAGCCCGATGTCGCAGCTAAAGTCTTTCTTCTAAAACTATTGATTAAACACGCACCAACTGCCCCCATGAACACTCTGACGCCCCCAACGATAATAGAAGCCGTGAACTCGTTGACACTGGTACCAACTGATTTGAAGAAATCCACAGCATAGTACAAAATGACGTAAATGCCCGACATCTCTTGAAATATGAAGAAAACTATTAGAACGATGAAAGGTTTTAGGACGCTCCGCCTCTTGAAGAGTCCCATTTTTTGCTTGAAGGACATTGTTTCTCCTAATTTACGATCTTTGGTGAACTCCATCAGCTCTTGCTGTGCTGTGTTGTTGTTCTGCCGGAGCCAGAACATTGAATTGTAGGCTTCCTTCATGTGTCCTTTGGACGCAAGCCATAAAGGTGACTCGGGCACGAAGTACATCAGAAAAGGCGTCAGCAGGGAGAATCCTGCGCAAATGGCGGCAACCTTCCTCCAATGCACGAAGGCTCCCAAGGAATACACGACGAATATGCCCGTCGATACCAGCCCAGGACCCAAGGCGCTGAGGACACCCCTCTTCTCTGGGGTTGTGATTTCCGCTACGTAGATGTATGATACTGTTGACATACCTGTAAAAAAGAAAGCATTGCAAATTAGCAATTTACTCAAATTTTTCTTCATGTATTTCAAACAAGAAGTTGCACAAATATTATAAGAATCCAATAAATGTCAATATTTGAGCGTTATCAAATATCAAATCATGTTTTAGATAAATTAAATGATACAAAGGGCCGATTTTTCAGTCATCGGATATCTTGTCATTTTGATATATTTTCCATACTGAAACTGTCAATGTGCCAAACTTATTCTTCAGATAAAAGTTCCCCTTCAGCCTCCCCCAATGCTTAAAAATGATAAATTGGTTCCATGATAATTTGCTACCCAATAATGCTCAAGGAAAAGTGTATATTATTATAAAGAATACGCTCATAAAGAACTTACCAATAGTAAACCCCGTGATGAACCTCCCCACGCAGAGGAAGACGTAGGTCTCGGAGAATGCGATGACGAGCCAGCCGATGAGGTTGGGCAACACGATGGACTGCAGCAGCAAACGCCGCCCTACGGCGTCCACCATCATGCCGCCCAGCAGTGCGCCCACTGGGTTAGAGATCACGCCCAGACTTGCTGTTGACAAAAAATATTAAAACTTTTAAAATAGTTTATCTAGCACTAACAGTAGCTTTAACTCTTATGATTGTTAGTTTTGTGTGGTAGGTACGCAATAAAGAGATCTATCTAGCATAGAAAGTTAACATTTTTCGTTATTTTTTGGTAATTAAGATACTGAGATTCAAAACAATGTAGTGGTAGGAACTAACCTATATTTTTACTCAAAGGATTGCTTTAAGATTTGAACAAAGTCAAAGAGAAACCATTTCGGTGGTTGATTGAAATTGTGTGAAGGTTTGGACAAGTGTCCTGCTGTGATAATAAAATTATTTGAGGAATCAGGCTATGAATTGCTTCTAAGTCGCACATTACAGACTACAGTCGGCAATAGTCGTAAGTCGTAAACTTTACATGCACTTTGTTTGCAATTGGTTAGATATTCCCTGATTTTCTTTCCACTTGAACATTCTCTGATTTACTGAGGGCAAAGCCCTAAATCTAAATCAGGACTTCGCTGTCCAGACTCGCTAATCGCTTTCCCACGGAACTATTCCGACGTTGACGTATTTATTGACATCTGCTGGGACGCCGCCGGAGCCCTAGACCTTGTCTGCTGGCGCAGTCCCAACTATTTGTTGTGGTTCGCAGATCGTAAAGGAATATGCGCCTTGGCCATGAGCCAGTTCAACAGTATCGTAAACAGAAGTTTGTTTTGATGTTTCAAGCTGTTTTCTGCAATAACAGAAGTACTTAACAGAAACCAATGAATATAATACCATTTCAATTAACATTCATTATTTTAGACAATGAGACCAATTTAGAAATCTTTGTAATCGTGAAACATATGTGATGCTGATTGTAAATTCTTTTATAAACAAGTGCAAACAATATCAGCCGTGTGCAAATGTTTAACATGTAAACTGATACTGTTAAAAATAGGCGTGCTACAAGGTGCGAATTTAAGTCCACTATTACATTGCTATCACAAATTCAAATCAAACCGTTTTCTATATTCAAAATTGTGTATGTTTATTATTTTTAAAGCATAAAGTTAAATAAACGACCCTCCTAACAGTCATAGTTATCGTACGTGCCTACGCGTCGCTTCTGCGGCTCTTGGCCCTAAGCCTTATCTGGCTGCATAGACGGGTGTAATGTGTTTGACATCATATCAAAGGTCGGCATACTTTCTGTTTGCCTCCGTGTTTGTTTTTCCACTTGTGTTTGCAACTATGTCGCGATAAGATAAGGAGATCACACCTGCTACTGCTGATAACGATGCGTCGGATTTGTATTGAGATGGAAAAGTCAATAATATCCCGTCATCATTCATAATTATTATTTTTAAAGGATCAACGTCCCCTGAATAACTGATTTCAAGAATGGCTTGTACGAAGTGTTCAGCAGTTAAATTTCAATGTCGCCTTTCATTCACTAATGCATTCATGGAATCTTTTTCACTGCTTCCTCTTTACATCAATGGTTTACATGAATGTTTTTTCTTATGGTAATGTATTTAAAATTAGCTCACGTGCTTCTTTATCATTCATCTTTTATTTCAGAATCTATACAAAATACGCTACAATATTAGTGTATTGACGTAATCTTTGACTAAATTGTTGTTGAAAAGAAGCCATCCATACATACGATCTCAAGAATGATGTTCTGAAAATTTTGTATGTTTTTTTCTTGAAGATTTTAAGACTAGGCAATTAATCGAAAAGCAACTTATCAGACATGTCAATGTTAATGCATTTCCATGTAGAATGTTAATTCGCCTCTTTGTTGGGTTTTATCCCTCAGATTATCTTACACAAATCTAAGCTTCCTTAGTGGCTGGTAACATTTGCATACTAGGAAACCGAGTTAATGCTAGTTGCAGCAAGAGCAGTGCTTGCATACTGAGCTGCTTGCATCTG